AATTAAAAAGAGCTGGCGCAGTCTGAGGCAGACAACCAGATGGCGGGGGCAAGAGGGGCGCTAGCCCCCACAGAGAAAAGTTGGGGGGGGGGGAACTGAGGCCCCCCCCCCCCACTTTTGACAGTGGTCACTGTCGGCTGAAAGCTGGGGAAACAACTAAAATGAAATTTTTCTTCCCCACTGTAATCACTCAATTATTTTGTTACGAGAAAAAGAAAATATTACGAGGGAAAGTTACAGTATAGTGATGATTTTCCAACATTTCAGCTGTGACGATTTACTTGAAGGCTCTGCGACGGCATTTGGAGCGTAACATGCAGATACGGGGCCAATTTTTTTTCACTGCAATTCTAAGCAGACGCGTTAGGTAGGACACCAGCTTGTCAAGGGCTTGGGTTCGATTCGCACTCGAACCCATAACTTTTTATTCATTCAATTTGCATCACTCTTGACATTCCAGTAATGGACAATATGATTTTTCACATGAAACTAACCAAAGAAATGCGAGAATGTCTCTAAAACGAGCTCTTTAACGCTCGTTAAAATCCTGGCACCGCTCCGTACGCCAAGGCGCGTCGGCATTTGAACACGTGGCATCAAACATTCGAAGTTTATCACTTGCCGCCGCGTTTGTTCAAAAATAAACTGAGCAGTTCGCGTCTGCATAACAGATGAACTTAAAACAACCTAGAATGTCCCCAGACATCATGGCGTGGTTTGCATAAAGCAGTAATTATAAGTGAAATGGGCCAGTAACATTAAAAAAAACATACAAATGAATGTGTGTGGCCATCTTTTATTGATATATCATCTTGCATTGATCATATCTTTAAAGGACCAGTCAACAGGCTTTTTCTTTTATTTTTAAACCCTCCAAGCAAGCTCGCGCATCCTTCGCACGCCTGACCAACCTCCTTCTACGCGTGGCGACGCCAACTCGACGATCGGTGACGTTGACTTCATTACTTTTTGTTGAGACCTGGTTTAACCCAATCGGTGAGCTGCGTGCTGCGTCATGCACAGAAAAAATGCGCGAGATTTTCCTGCGCGTTTCAGAGCCTGCTTACTGCCCTTTAAGTTTGGAATGTACTGCCATACCAGAGGCCGTCACATATACTCTATTCCCAGCAGTTTTCACGAACGGCACCGCCTTACCAGCGTGGTCATTCCAATCAAGGTAATCTCAAACTTTTGTTTGCCCATTACAGGCATCACTCACGAACTCGATTAACTAATCTCTGTTTTTGTGCTAACTAGCTACTTTTTCAGCACTGCTTTTATATCTATGTATTGTCATTCACTCCCCTTCGGTCTTGAGGGTACAATGAAATGACAATGGAAACACACTGCCCCAGTGGGGAATCCCAAAACTGCAGACCCATGCCTCTCATCCGTAGCATGTTACATTAAGCCCAGACTGCTCATTTTCATGAGTCACAAAAGAAGGACACGAATGAACATTTCGCACTAGGCATCATTCATTTCATTCGAAGAAGCTCTACACAGCATTCTTGCAAATCCATGTACACGAACATATTTGCCTTTTCGTATAAGGATAAAAATAAAACCAGATGGTGGAGCACAGAGGTTTCTGAGCAAATCCTCTCACAGCTGAGGAAACACAGTCTCAACTGTCAATAGAAAACCATGGGTGCAACATACTAAATCTCTAAGAACATAAAGCTTCAGACTATAATACCTTGAATATAATGAGTACAACATATCTGCTAGACTTACAGCTACAAGTGTTACTTTGTGCAGCACGCCTGTACAAATTTGTGGCACATGTTCAGCACGTACTGAGCTTTAGAGTGCTGGTTGAAGCAGCAATCGTAACCGAAGAAGAACACTTTCTCAGTAAAACACTATACAGCAGCATCACATTCTCATGAACATTTTTCCATTCATTGCAGCAAAACAAACAGTAGAGCTTTGGCATAAGAACAAGCATGGTCTCTTAGCAGTTCAATCGAGAAAAAGTCTAACCATTTCTTTTAGATTTTGTACAATCTCACTTTCAAAAAACACTCAACATCTATTACCCGAGGTCACCTAGCTTATGAAGTCACCGAGAAGGCATACAAGCTATAGCTAACAGCTTTACAGATAGTGCTTTGTACAAGACATTTGTGGGAAAGCCCGTAGCCAGAAAGATGAAAAAAAGAGACTTTGGTAGCTGCGTGCTGTAAAAAGCAATTATAGGCGAAGAAGCAGCACGCACAGCACGAAGAACATGACATGCACTAGAGATATGGTGGGTTAGGTATGGGGAACAGAAAAGTGCACTGTCAAAACAGTTTCCTTCACTTATAGTATTTACAGGTTTGCAAACAGTGTGCCATTATAAGAAAATGACAAAGAAAAAGCTAATGTGTAAAATTCGCAGAGGAACGCACATCGCCAAATGGTAAAAAAGTGGCGCACCAGTAAAAAAATGAGCAAAAAGGCTCGAAAATGCGAATGCCAACAAATAAAATATATTCAACACCCTACTCACTACACTCTTCTACACAACGCTACGCTCTCTTCGGAATCCACTCTACGAAATAACCCGAATGGGGCATGCTTGTTACAAAAAAAAGCACTCGTTTATTCCTGTAAGCAGTCCAAAATGCGCTGTATAAAGTGCCAAAAAAAGCGAACAAGCAGAACCAGACTAGTTTCACAAAAAGAAACAGGCGCAATAACGTTTCTTCTCTATAAAAAGCACTCTCTACACAGCATTCAAGTCCCGCTTGCCCAAGGCAATAATAAAGTGCTGCACGTTTGGCGGTAAACACAACATTTGAGGCTCATTCATTCCTTATGAAGAGCACCGGTCGCACGACCTCGTTAGTCACAAAGCGACTGGTTGCAAATGGTCGCAAAGCGACTGGTTGCAAATGGTCGCTTTAGTCGCAAAGTGACTGCCTCAGCTCTGTAGCTCACAGCTTGATTTTACAGTGACGGGACTAGAGCCGCAAACCTCTGATCCATTGAGATGGCCAGGAACAAGGTGTTGACTTACTTTGCAAGGCAATGTCGATGCGAGAAGACGTGAAGTTGCGAGATGCCGTTCGCAAATAAGACGCACGACCGGCGCGAGTCGCAGGTGTTAACGAGCTTTTTGACAATGTGCACTCTCGTTGAGGGGGGGTAGTGTGCAGGCTGACAGTGATAGTCCTCGTGTTGGATGGAACACTACTTTCAAGTTGGCCATGCAGACTGTCACGATTACTGTAGTTACCGCAAGTGTAAAATGCTGCGGTTGTGTGCCCATGCGCTGAGAGCGCCTAAGGTAAGCACTGATTGCAGCTCCCGCAAAGGCAAAGGTATCGCTGAACACCCTAAAATTAGACTGGGTGCGCATACAAAATGTCATGACTAAACAAGAACATGCATGTGATCTGCAAATATCCACGAACTTTAGCTCCGCAGCGAACTTCGAAATTCATTCAAAATAACAGCGGCCATGAACCAAGACAAAGAAGTGCACATCTGAGTCAGCCATGTGATGTTCCACCCTTGTTTTCTCCAATATCACTAAGCATTTTCTGCGCAATGTTACCTCAATATAGTCAACACTCTCAATATATTCTATATTGAAGATTCTGCAGTTGAGATACTAAACACGCGTGCTGCAGCTTGGAAAACTACAGCACGCAGATGCGACAGACAAGTGCCCGCTCGATGCCACAGAAATGGGTGTGATACTGGGACCAGTATCCAATGACTCTTATGCCAAAAAGCATAGGTACCCATCAGTGCGCATAAATACCGCAGAAAATTTTGCAGGACTGTCACTCAAGTGTGCCTGCTCGTGTGCAATGCAGATGCGCTCAGTGGCACTTATCACAAGAAAGCCCGTACAAGCCCCAGAGTAACGGCACTAGCAAGACATATGAGCATGTGAGAACCCAGAGTGCTGGTGCCAGACCCAATGTCCCAGTGCCAGTACCACATAGGAGTGTGTGTGAGACAGCCCAAATGCTTATACGTACCAGCCACAGTGTACTGCCATGCCGGACATGCCACATGGTAGCATCTCTGGCATTTAACCGAAAGATACAGCCAGTCAATGTAGTACTGCTACCTGCACCACATAACACGCCTGACACTTAATTTAAACTGCACATCTATGACAAGTTATGCTCTGGTACCAGTACCACATGAGGCGTGTAACACAATTCAAACAGCACTTGTACCATCCATTGTGTTCTGGTAGCAGCACAACATAACAGCTTGTATGATACTTGAGCCAAATACCAGTACCACTGAATCCTGGCACCGCTACAGAATAAAAGAATGTCTTAGACATAATCCAACAGGTACTCGTATAAGTCACTGAGTACTGGTACAAGCCCTATACAAGAGCATGTCTGAGCCATATCCCAATATGTGCTAGTACCAGGCACCATGTACTTGTCCCAATACGATTAGCAGCACGTTCGAGATATAACGCAAAGTGAACTAGTAGTGGTCGCTGAGCACCGGTACACGCAGTTTAACACATCCGGTGACTCTAGTGTACCGGCTTATGATGCTCGCTATAATGTATTAAGCGAGCACAGTGCAAATTGAAAAGTATGATATAATTTGAGAAGTTCAAATAAGCTATTGCTCAAAATCTACTTGTCGTCCTGAAGAAAAAAAAAAATTGTTTTCACTCTAACACGTACAGGAACATTGCTGCCAAATGTCACAGTCAGGAAAAGTGCACAAGGATACTTGTTTTTTCTTCTATCTTAAGGAATGTAGGTGTGAGATCACCACGCTTCAACTTTTTTGAGATCTTCCGATACTAATGGCACATTTCAAAATAGTTGAGGGCACAAACCAAAGCTCATTTATCAGCTACATCATTTAATTTTGCTTTTACTCTAAGAAGTTTAAATAAAACCCCTGCAGTTTTAATAACAAAAACTACAATTTTGTACTCTGCAGCAAAGCAGTGTGGCCACTGTGATACTTAGGCAGACACTAATTGCTTCAATTCCATTTAAACACCCCTTTCATTCATACATAAAAGCCATTGTTGCACTGAAGCACCGAGACACATGCACTTCGTCTAAGATGTATTGTTCGGTTTGCAAATATGTAACTGACACTGCATCTTCACACCCATTAAAATGTGCCACTCTCTTCCTATGATCCTCTTAATCACTGGCATACAGTCATACCTCGCGAGAGTGATTTTAGGATATAGAAATACACTCAAGCTTCGTTACAACAAAGTTGCATCTTCGCATAAAACAAGTTTGTTACATACCAAAATTCATTATAAATGTATATTTCTAACACGATACCTATTGCAAGACTATTCATTTACTACGTTATAACCAATATGTCATTATGCCTGTGTTCGTTATAACGAGGTTGAGTGTACTTCCACAACCCATGACTTTCCCAAATATTCATATGTTTATGGATAAATAATTTACAGCACAGAAGGGCATAATTTCGCCTTCAGTGTGCATTCAGACAATGGCCATTCAACAGTACAAATGCAGAAAAATAAATATAGTAGACATAAAAAAAGAGTAATGCCCATCTGAATTGCATAGCAATCGAGGACCCAGTCGCCTCAGTGAACTTAAAAAAAAAATAAGGTGTCACGTAAAACACATGTACTGTACAGTAAAAAAACAATTAAATGTAGGTTTCTCTGGTAATAAAGACAACACAAAAAAGGCTGATGGGTTACGTTGTTGGACATCAGATCTGCATGCTTTGACACCGAAATCACGCAATAATTGTTTGTAAAATATAAATTGGTCGTCCTTTTACCAGCCCATAATTTGGTACTCTGAGCTTTGCCACAGAAAGCAACAAATGTGAATGGCCTGAAATGACAATTGAGCAAACATGTGACAAAAAAAGGGCATGTTAAAGAACCCCAAAAAACATAGCTGCCAAAAAAAAATGTGTTAATGGATACATTTCTGGCACGTAAGTTTATCTGTGTGTATGAGATAGAAATCAGAACAAATAAAAAGTGTGCAGAAAATGTTGCAAAAGCAACAAAAGATGTTTTTGTGACGTCGCACATGCACAAAAAAGCGTGAAAATGTTGCTCTAGCTCTTTTCCTTCGCAGTACAGCTTTCTTTTTCAATATTACAAATATATGTGCCGATGGCAACTGTGTGACCTTCACTAAACACTTCCATCACATGTGACCTTTAATGTAAGCTCTTACTGACTTATGACTTTTTAGTGCAAGGACTAGCAACCTTCAAAACAAGATTTGGCCTTCACTAAACACTTCCATCACATGTGACCTTTCATGCAAGTGCTTACTTGTTACCTTTAGTGCAAGGACTAGTGACCCAAGAGTAATTCACTGAGAGTAATGCCTGTGTTCTCAAAGCGTTTGTCCATTTTGGGGTACTGCCCTTCAAGCTGGAAGTGAGCTCTCACCGCCAATATAGTCACTGTGCCTGTGTAATGAATTATATTTTTCAATGACTAAAACTTCAGAATCATGTTAATGACAGTGTCTGTTTTAGTCACAATGACTTCAGTAGAACACAAATAAACATGTTCCCTTTAACCCCTCCCTACAATATAAGGAACATTGGCCTTGCCAGGTTCTTGATTACACGAATCAAATGATCTATACATACCTGTGAATTGACTATCAACAGAACAACAAATATTCACTAAAAAACTATCAATAGTGTAACAAAAGTTACTAGAAGTAGAGCTAGTGCAACAACCATTACAATATTCTACGGATTGTGGTACCATGCAGAGTTTTGCAATTCACAGCTGGTAATATTGCCAAAAGTTCTGTGATTACTGACATTGATTGACACTTCCACTAGTGCCACTGAGAACCAGGAAACTCAAAATTTGTCTTCATTTTACCTTGCCATATATGGCTCGGTCTTACAAGTAGGACACCTGGCAGCAATGTCTGATGTCAACAGGGTGCTACCAAGAGTTCCAGAAGCTTATGTACTGTCAACTTGATTAGTGACAAAACCATCAATGGCACTTGAAAAAGTGATAGTTATAGTATCCATACTGCGAACAGTGTAGAACCAGCAAAACCCCATGACCACCGAGTCATTGTGGTTAACCAAAAATTGTGACAAACCTGTTGAGAAACACCCTCACAGTTAAGGTGTCTTCAAACACACCTGGAAGTGCATTAACAACTTTGCAGCATCAAAATAATCTAGAAGCACTGGCAAAGTGCGTTGACTAGAGTGGAAGTCACCGGTACTCTCATAATGGCAAGCCATGGCTAACCCAGCCCAAACTCTCTAGTGATAGCGGTCAAAGCTGCACACTGTCAGCTAAAGATACATGAAAAAAACATTAAAACAGAAGTAAAAAGATTAGGGAATACCAGCCCACCTTTCCAAATTGATCACTCTAAACATCGAATTAAAAATTGGAGGACTTGACAACTGGGTTACCGACAATGACAACTAAATGATGATAACATTTTATGCACAATCATATATTAAACAAAACCGTCTTCCCGTGCCATCTCAGAGCGAGTGTTAATGTCTTTTTTGGTAATCAAAGATGCGCCGCTCGCTCAATCACTGTCAACTGCAATTGGACACGAATCCCGTTTTGTTTTTCTGACGAGAACAAATGGTAACAGTTGCCATAACAACTAACACCTACGACACTTACAAATGGTGATCTGTATACAGCTTATCAGACTTCTGAACAAAAATGTCTTCTTAAAGAAAGGAAAGAGGCTTTTCCTTACTGTCTCTGTTTTCTTCTTAGCTTGGCAGCTTGAGTTGCCAAGAACAGACTTTGCTTCAATATCATTATTGAAATTGTTAGATGGCATTAAGGTAGCACTGGCCATGGAGCATTCAAAAACACACTTCATAGCAGCCAGCTAAAACTATTTTGAAGGAAATGAAATAGGAGAAAGTTCAAAGGAACTTCTGCACATACTTCACAGATGAAATCAAATGAGAAAAACTAAATATTGTGGCGCAGCCCAATTCAAATGTGTAACTTTTCGTGGCCCGATTGGGTAGAACAAAAATACCAACTGCAGTTTGATACCAAAAAGACGGGAAATAAAGAATACCCATCTAATGTTTCAGAACCCACTACACCTAGTCTGATCTTGTACCCCATGTGGATTCAAGTAACCACATCGCGAAGCATGCTTAAAGCCCAAGAGGTTGTCTAAAGCGTAGCAATGGCCTCCGAAAAGCAATGGCGAAACTTCTGAATGTGCATGTCCTTTCTTGTGTTAAACCTGAATACCAAATTTGGACTACTGACAACAGAATGGGCCCCATTTTGTAAAGCTAACATTTATGGATTTAGTTTATATCACGAGGCCAATGGCTGCACTCGTGCACCATGGCAGAAAACAAGTTTCACGGATTGGAAATTTCTAGTGAATAACAGCTCGCAACTAGATTTCACATTCCTTTTGGTATTGGTTTCATGAGTAAATTGTAGACGACCTGCAACAGGATTGCAGCAACAAGCTTTTTTGAAGTCTCGTTCTACATGCCGAGTGACCGGCATATCTTCCACATGCGCAGGCGACCCACCAGTGGGTCACGGCGCATCTGGGACTTACTGGTGGGTCACCCGTTGGTAATGGCATGCAACACCAGGAATTTCTTCCGATTACTTACAACTTCTTGCAACAAGAATTGTACCCCTGCTTTCATGTTCGATGAAGTTACCTTCTCAGCAAGCCGATGCATGGTCGTAACGCTGCGGCCACAATAGAGAAGCACAGCCCGTTACTGATCAGAGACCCATGCCACAGTGAGCCTGTTAATTAAAGCGGCCCAGCAGTGTTTTTACAGGTACACGTCAAATACCTTAATTAAAAGAAAGTTTATTGCCTCGCGAATCAACTGCGGCAAAAATACTTAGAATTCGTCAAGTACGAGCAGAGTTATAACGATTTGTCGTATTATTCAAGCACTTTCTTTTCATACTAAGCAAGCATGCCGAAATCTACGCAGGGAGGGGATGACAAGTGGCCAAAAAGATGCATCCTTTAGTCAGTGCACATCATGGCTATAACTTACTTTTTCCTTTTTATTAATATTTTCTTTTGTTTTTCATATGTCTGGCTTACTCTCAAATCAGCCAACGGTCAAACAATTAGGACATAAGGCGCGCTCATTTGGATTTTTCGCCAATCATTTGGGTTCGTGGCATTATTTCTTGAGAGAAGAGGGAACGATTTGTAGCTCACTTTGAGAATTAATGGTAAGTTCGAGGCCGTGTGCAGTGATGTAATGTTTGGCTCGCATGTTCTCGGGACCCTTACGTGCTGATCAACAGCGTTTTCTGACCAAGCTCAAAAAGCCTTACAGGCCCCCCTCAAGTTCAATTATGTAAGCAAAGAGCAGGCTATTCACCTGAGTCAATCCTCTCAGCCCAATGTACCCCTGCGAGCCAAGTTGTGCATTGACTAATTTTATTCTAGGATGCTGAAGAACTAACCGCACCAGGCACAGGGTTGTTTTTCAGTGCACTAAATGTGGCTGTTATGTTAAATTTATTAGTTTCATGAATACTAACTGCAGTTGAGTGAAAGCCACAACTAATGAGAAATGAGATTAACTGTCAAGCATGTCAAGCTTGTTACACAGTAGGACTTGCCCAGCAAGCCATGGCTACTCAGAAAAACAACATTAAATGGCCGCACTGAGACTAACGGTGTTCCATTTAAAAGCGGACCAAACGGTAGATCTGATTCGAGCCATAAAAATGTAAAGCAATAATCGGGCCATTGTGTGTTCCTTCTGCATCTACACTTGCATTACATCTCGCAATTATTACAAGGTGCTTCAAACCTCCACGATTGAGATTCCGTATCTAGGTGGTCAACACAACAGCGTTTGCCACATACAACATAAAAAAAACAGCAAAAAGAGGTGCTGAGTGGCAACAGAAAATGTACAAACGTTTCGCACCAACTGCACATCATAGACAAAAAATGTGCAGCAGAACAGATTGCATGAAGCCTCGAGAAACCGACAAACGTCGGCTCGGCGCGGTGCGAGTGAGCCTCTACCAAACGGAAAGGTGGAAGCAATCGTGTTACTGCTGGCTCCCTCTTGCCCACTGGATTCACTCTATATAGATATCTTCAACAGGGTAGGCCATCTCAACGAATTTCTGGTAGAACTTGCGGAACGCTCGCCTGCAACGAAAAGTTTAAAAGCATGACAATCGGGAAAATGAGCAAAGGTGGGTATGCATTAGGCATACCCATTTCCCACCTCTTTAATTATTGCAACGAATATTATAACATTCGTATTCAGGTCAACACAAATTTTAAATTTTCTGAAATTTCTGAACATCCGATACAAACCAATCTACCACAAATGAATATATTTCCACCATCGGAGCCTTGCTTTTTATGTGATAAATAATGTTTAAATATTTTCTCTTCTTATACAAAACAGTTTGGGATAGAAGGCAGCATGCACGAAATAAATATTTCTCCCTTCAAGCCTCAATACAATGAACCAAGATAAGTAAATGAAATAAAGTATTTATTATTGAAAAAGAGTTCAAAAACCCTAGCCTTATTGGGAAAACGAGGCCGAGCTAAGCTTGGCTAATGTGTGCCTGACATACTGCTTTTCTTTCTTTCTCATTGCTCAATACTTGCTTTTTAATTGTTTTTCCTTTATCCTGTAGATTGACCACAACGCATATGTTTAAACAAAAGAGAAAGCATTGATCAAGGGTTTCTTTTGTTAGATACAACATAAAGAAAACAACGGACAATAAAACTAAGGAACATACAGGGGAGATACCTTTATGTCTTAAGGGGAGATGCGAGTCGAAAAATCGCGTTTTTAGCGAAATTTCTCGTATTTCTGATTTTTATTGCATTGTAATCTTCAAACTTTCTTCATTCATCTGTGAAAATTTCAAAACTAAATTCGAACCGCAAAATGCAAAAAAATGTGTATGAAGGCATCGCGGTGGCTCAAAATTTCGTGCATTTGCGCTGATATTGGCCATCTTTGACTGCGCGCTGCTCCCCGTCGCAGTGCCGCCCGCCATCGCGATCGGTTGGGAAAGTTGCGTCCGGCCTTCTTCTTACAGCTCCGACGACCGCCAGTTTCGTACGTGGGCAAAAAAAAAAAAAAAAACGAAGCCTTTTTATCACGTGGTTTGGGCGGTTTGAAACGCGCGGCACCCTAAGCCGCATCGCCATTGGCTACCGAGGCATTGTCAGCTGTGTTGGTGGCGGCCATAGGCATTTGGTCCGTCTGCTTTTCTGCGCGTCTACGCATATTTCCGCGATGACAAGCCCGAAAAAGTGCAACGTGAGACCGCAGAAGTTTTGAACGAAGCACAAGTTCAAGGGAAGGCGGCGTGAAGCGCCCCGAATGACGGTGACGAACGAGAACGCGCCTACGTGTGCTAGGCCTGACGGCGGCATCGACGAGTGCGCGAGCGACAGTGGCTGCGATGAAGGGATTGACACTGCGCTTTCTTTCGTCAGTGCTTCGGAAAAGAAGCTCAGCTTCTTCGAAAAATACGAAAGACAGCGGGATGAGGTTTGTGCAACGACAGTTTTGTGCGACACCCTCTTGCTGACGGCACTTGTGGCAGGTGCGGCAAGCTCTGCTTGCGGTATTCAAAAACTTGCCGTTCGGGAGCCGGCAGAAAAGCGCAAGGGACTTTCGTCGCTCCTCGAACTTCATTGCGAAAACAGCGAATGCTCAGCGACTGTTCTTTCGTGCTCCTATACGTCACTGCGTGTTACAACGGACGTCAGCAGCCGAGTGAGCCAACGGTACGACTGTGGGAGCTCTTGAGATAGTTTCGCTGTAAATGTGAAGGCGGTGGTGGCTGCACGTGCTGTCGGCATTGGGCATGAGCAATTGTCGAGATTTTGCTCCATTATTGGACTCCCAAAGCCAATGCACCACCGAGGATTTTTTTCGATAGCAAAGAAGGTGCACACCGCTGCCATGGCGGCTGCGAGTGAAAACTTGCGCCGATCCAGAGAGTTGACGAAAGAAGTAGCAGGCGAAACTGATGTGGCTGTTATGTTCGACGGCACTTGGCAGAAGAGGGGCCACAAAAGCCACAACGGGATTGGCACAGTTATCTCCTTAGATACTGGCCTCTGCTTAGACTTCGAGGTCATATCAAATTACTGCCTGACATGCAGTAGGCACAAGGATATGGGCCCAGACAAGGAAGTGTGGCAGGCATTCCATGGCCCAGTCTGTGAAAAAAATGCAGACTGTTCCTCCCATGCCATGAAAACGGAGGCTGCAATGCGCATTTGGCAGAGAACATTGACTTATGACACCCCACTGCATTTCATGACATTCTTGAGTGGCGGTGACAGCAAAGCATATAGTGCAGTTGCAGAGTCAAAAGTTATGGTGCTGTCAATATAGAAAAAGAAGACTGCACTAATCATGTGGCCAAGAGACTTGGCACCGCGCTACGGAAGCTGCATGTGCCATTACCACGAGGGCAGAAAATGAAAGAGCCAGCCATTCAGAAGCTCCAAACATACTATCAGATTGCCATAACAAGCAACAGGGGGAGTGTACGGGATATGTACACTGCAGTATGGGCTTCGTACTTCCACTCATGATCTACTGACAATGCTGGCAGCCACAAGTTTTGCCCTGCAGGAACAAAGTCGTGGTGCAAACATCAACGCGCTGAAGCACTTGGTGAACCTGCACCACGCCACACACCTCTCCTGACAAAAGCACAGGGATTGGCTGTTTTGCCCATTTATAAGCGGCTAACGGATGAGAAGCTCCTTGCTCGATGCATCAAAGGGAAAACCCAGAACGCATCGGAATCCCTGAACAGCAAAACTCGGCTACTTTGCCTCAAGACTAAGTTTGTCTCCCGAGCGGTTGTCGAGACCGCCGCAGCTATGGCAATCCTGTGGTTCAACAAGGGTCATGCTACTTTCGAGTACATCCTGGAAGAGCTCAACATACTACCATCTAGAGATCTAGTTACTTTCAGTGATTCCCGCGATGCGAGGCGCATCAAGAGAATGATGATGATGATGATTAGTGGAGTTTATTGGCGCAAGGGCCAGATGTGGCCAAAGAGCGCCAGAGCGATGATAATGAACTGTGCGATGTGCAGTGTAGATAAAACAGATGTGACGTGGCTGTAAATGGGCCTAAAAACAGTCGCTGTAGGTGTGTAAAAATATATATAGATAGTAAAATTATGGCAATGACAAATGATGTGTGCTATGGAAACATAAAATGGTTTAAAAGTGATATGTATGTGAAATAAAAACTTCGCATGGAGTACCAGTGCCTCGACAGAGCCCTTAAAACAAGAGCATGGAGGTCTGGGCTCATTAAAAGCTGCTATCACAGCGGCATCCTCTGAACAGAGGATGCGCTATGAACCTGTTGGGCTAAAAACATTCAATGTTGGGCTAAAACATTCAATACTACATCCTTTAAAAAGCTTAAAACTGATTTTGCATCAAAAAGCGGCTCTTCACCGAGAAACATAATCGGATGTAGAGGAAGATTATAGCGGTATGCTAAAGCAAAATATTTCTTTCTCTCACTTTCAGCTTGAGGACACTCCAGGAGGACGTGGAGGACGGTTAGCCTCTCACCACATCTACCACAAGTAGGAGGTTCATCGCCAGTCAGCAGAAAGCTATGGGTGCCATAAGTGTGTCCTATTCTGAGGCGACAGAATAGGACATCAGTTCGCTGTGTTCTTGTGCGGAGGGCCAGTAACCCAACCGCGGCTTCATCAAGTGAAGCTTATTATTTATTTCTGTGTCCCACAAGCGTTGCCAGTGGTTTCGCAGTTTCTTACGTATGAAGGGTTTTAGGTCTGTTGCAGGGACAGTAGCGGTGGGGTTAATAGCGCGCAATATAAATGAGGTGGCCATTTGGTCAGCTAACACATTGCCCTCGATGCTTCTATGGCCAGGAACCCAGCAAATAGTAACATGCTGGTTGGACATATACGCTGTACACAGAACGGAATACAGCTCAATTATTACTGGATTTCTGAGTCTGAAAAGGGATCTTAATGCATTTACGACGCTTAACGAGTCTGTGAATATAATAGATTTTTGTATGTTTGATTTCCGTATATGCTTCACAGCCGACAATAGTGCATATCCCTCAGCCGTAAATATACTTGTTTCCGGGTGCAGCCCACCCGATTCCGAGAAGGATGGTCCGACGGCTGCATAAGTCACCCCTGCATGCTACTTAGAAGCATCAGTATAAAACTCTACGCATGAGTAGTTGGATTGAAGTTGTCGGAAATGCATTTTAATATGTGCTTCTGGTGCATGTTTAGTGATCTCGGCAAAGGAAGTGTCACAATGTATGAGCTGCCACTGCCACGGCGGTAAATGTTTTGTTGTGGGCATAGGACAAAGTTCTAGCAGCGGAACACCCATTTCCTCACTTAAGCTTCTCACACGCAAAGAGAACGGCTTTCTCGCTGCGGGTCGATTATGGTAGAGGGTGGCAGCGGTCATATCGTTTATAGCTGAATAAGAAAGATGCTTTATGTTTGCGCGTACCTTTATAAAATAAGTGAAACTGCTACAAGATCGCTGTAGGTGAAGTGACCACTGATTCGACTCTACATAGAGACTCTGGATCGGACTTGTCTTGAAAGCACCGGTTGCCAGTCGGATACCCAGATGATGAACGGGGTCTAAGATTTTCAAAGCACTTGGCGTTGCGGAATGATAAATTATAGAGGCATAATGAAGGCGCGACCAAACAAGGCTTTTGTACAAGTTTAAGAGACACTTCCGATCACTACCCCATGTTGTACGTGATAGGAGCTTTAGGAGGTTCATCGCTTACCGACATTTCATTTTTACATGTTTAATATGGGGATAAACGTGAGCTTAGAATCTAAAGTGGTTCCTAGGAATTTATGCTCGCTGCTCACAGAGAGTTGGTCTCCCTTGATCGTAATATTTGGAAGTGGCATTACCCCTCGTTTGTTGGAGAAGAGTACGCAAGTACTTTTCTGGGTGTTTATTTTAAAACCATTGTCATCAGCCCATTTAGAGAATTCATTCATTCCAAGCTGCACTTGTCGTTCACAGATAGACATATTGCATGATTTGAAACTCATCTGCACATCATCAACATATACAGAATAAAACATCGCACTTGGAATGACTGACTGCAG